CATAACTTTTGAGAAGCTAAAAAGAGTTCTTAAACTAAAAGATGGCTTTTGAACCCATTTTGCTAATTTTATGAAAGTACTTTTTTTAATTAGAAGTGTTTTAGAGAAAGCTTATCTAATATGGTTTCCTACAGAAATACTTTTAGAATAGAAAGCTCTTTTAAAAATTTGTTTCCAAATAAAAATTAAAATAATTTCATCCAAAAACTCTTTTACTACAGCAAAAACAAAAGTAAAAGTCATGTTAGATGTGTCCTAAATCAGTTAGACCCTTGATTGCATGATTAAACCTGAAGCCAAAACAACCAAAAACCTGCTCAAACAGGTTGTCAAACTGCTGAAAGAAATAAATGCATCCATGAAAATTCTTCCACACTATCATTATTTGTTTCAAAAACACCTCTATTCAAAACCATTAATTATACAACAACATATCATACAGGTAAAGAAAGGGGTCAATATACACATTTCTCAGGTACTCAGGCCAAAAAAAAAAAAAAAAGGGAAAAAACTATAGCAGTACACATTTTATTACATCCAATGAAACTGTGAACACCATTAATCAGTTCTCCTTGCAATCTTTAGTAGGACGCGCCTCAAATCCTCCACCAGCCCTCTTCTCAAGCGAATACGGCATATAAGTACCAAGAATTCTATCCCATGTCACAAAGAATGGCTGTGAATAATTATACTTGTTCCCAAAGAGTTGATGATGGATATCGTGATATGCAGAGTTGTTTCGGAAGAAAATGTGGAAAAGATTTCCAGGAAGCCACAGTCCGCAGTGATCATCAACTGTTTTGATAGTAGCGAAGGAGAAAAAGAAGATAGAAGCTCGAGGAGACATGCCAGAGAAGAGGAAAGATAGAGCCCCACCAACTGTGTCGAGAAGTAGCCCCTCCAATGGGTGGTTGTACAACGCTCCGAAAGCATAAGGTACGATTAGCCTGTGGTGTCGAGAATGGATATGGCGGTACAGAAATTTGTTTACATGCATGTACCGGTGCATGAAATATTGCCATGTGTCTAAAATCAACATTGCAACGAAAATTTGTCTGAGGAGAACAATAAGGGAAGCCGGTTCAGCTTGTGCTGCTTCACTGTCATTTCCTGTAACCTACATAGAAAGAAGAGTCAATTTTACTGCATAAGTCAGCATATAAACTTAGAATAAAAAAAATAAAGTTCAAAACAAGTGTTCAGATTTGAGATAACACTATCAACATGAAAGTTCGGGAGAAAAGGTAAATTGTTAAAACCAAGTTATCAGATTTGATATCACATATCAGTATCAACGCAAAAAATCAGAAGAAGAAGGTAAGATGTCTAATTGAGTTTTTTTTTTCCCGAGAAACAGTATCAACATAAACATTTGGGGAAAAATAAAATGTTTAAACCAAGTTTCAAGGCTTGATGCAACAGTATTAACATGAAATTTCGTAAGAAAAATGTCAAAACCGAGTTTTCAGGTTTGATATTAACAGTATCAGCACAAAGAAATCCCAGAAAGTCAAATGTAGGAAACAAATGGTACCAACACTTTAAATGAATATAGAACGCAACGGAACAAAAAAATGATGCCGTGTTTTATAGCTGAAAACACCTTCAATTTATTCCACTTGCATTTTGCTTTAAAGTAAGCAACTTAGATCCTAGGTCAAGGTTGATATATCAAAATCAAATGCAGTTTTTTTGGGAGGTCGAAGATTCAATTAGCCCCCGTTTGGCCCCCATTTTTTGGAAATGAAAATGGGTCGAATAGTATTTTTTTGAAAAATGAGTTATTGAAAAAGAAGGAAAAATTTTCGATTTATATGTAATATTATTTTATGGAAGATTGTATGGTTGAAAATAGGAGAGAGAGAAAAATGGAATGTAATGAGATTCAAACGGAGGCTTAAGACATAAATACAACTCACTATAAATCCACGTTGTGCTTCATTGCCTGCCTTTATATTGCAAAAAAAAAGGAAAGAAATTGTAGTGTGCTTATGAATGTTTGTGTAGATTCTAGTACATGTACACACAACAAGAAATGTATTGATGCAACTAAAGAAAAGTCATCTTCATTAACTGGTGTAATCAGGTCTTAGCTTAATACCTTGTTGATTCCCTTTACTCAAATTCGTTTTGTACCCAGAAATTTTCTTCTATCATTTTAAACAACATGACATTTACATTTTATTTCCCCAAATAATCTACATGTCAATTAAGAGGAAATGAAAACTTCAGCTTAAGCATTTAATTAACAATAAAGAAAATCTAATGTTTTATTTCTTCTTCATGACACATCAGTGCATTTACACATTGGCAACTGTTAATTTAAGGATAATTCATCTATCTAAATGTCTTTAGAATTTGTCTCATATCCTATCAAATCAAGAACCAAGAAACCAAACATGTATGATAACAAACTTTCAAGGTCTTGACTTTAAGATAATGAAAACACGCAAAGCATTCGACAATAAATAGAACATAGCTAACACAAACAATACCAACCGGAACAATACTGTATCAAGACATCAGCTTTATTTCTAATAAGCTTGAATAGACTCTATACTAATTCTTTTCTGCCACTCTGTTCATTTCTTTGAAGGGACCAATAAATTTCAAGTGTGCCTCAATACACCAAATGCTGAGTCTTTTAAAGGTATAAATATTCACTATAAACTATAGAATAAATCAACTAGACCATCCCTGTATGATATACACTTCTTGATCACACCATAAAAATGAAACATAATTATAGACAAATATGTCCTCTGAAATAATCATTTACATATAATCAAAATTCTCCCAAAAAAAAAAAAAAAAAAAAATTTCCAATTAAAGGACAAAAATCAAACACCAGATCCCTTCATAACATTTACCAAACCTTTACCATTCAGAAGGAAATTTTTTCCTAAACATGATACATGTCCTTCTATATATATTCATAATCATACCCATAGAACCACATATGTATTTCTACATTTACGATATGGAAAAGGAACTTACGGCGAAGAGGAGGGTGGCGACGGCAGCCTGAACCGCCTGTTGAAGGAGGACTCCTTTAACCACATCCTTTTTGGACACCAAATTCTTCTCATCTTCATCTTTCTTACTATGCAGCCTGTAATTCTCCAATGAACCAAGCATTACATATATACCCGAGTACATCAACAATTGGAGCAAATGTTCCCAACATTTCATCTGAAATCTCTAAACCCCCTTTAATTATCTGCATATTAAGTACTAATTGTTTTCTGGGAAATACAACGATGGCGATTATGATTTATGGGTTTGGTTTTGGGAAGAAAATGAAATTGGAATTTGATTATTGATCAGGGTTTTCTGGTGAGTTCTTGGCGTGTTGGTTTATATATAGGATATTATATAGTACTAATCATTCGAATTTAAGCATAAATATTAATTAAAAGTTGAAACTTTGTCTAATTTTTGACTTTCTTCAAAGATTAAATTATTTTTCAAAAAAATTATTCTAAAAAATTCTCTACCAGAATAAAATATAACTATAATATCAACTTTTTGAGAAAACTCAGAGAAATTTCTGAACGATTTTGGAAAAGAAAGTCAAAAAGTTGGGGTTTGACAGGAAGATGACGTGGCAGCAAGGAGTCTGTTGGCGGTCAAAATCGAGGGTCTTAATTTTGACGCAGTCGTGCGTGTTGACTTTTTATGGTTATCTTGTTCCTTGCCTTAGCAATCAAGAAAGATACCAAGCACGTCAACTAATTATTTAAAATTTATTTATTTATTTATTTGTGAGTTTCCATTTTTAAAAATATAAATGAAATACAAATAGACGAGATATTAGAAAAGATACAAATAGAGATCAAGATCTAACTTAAGTGATCAATAAAAGTCTTACTAGATCATTAATTTGAGTTCGAGTCTCATTTGAGAGTGTCCATTTAAAACTAAAAATAGTTACAAGTGTATCATCAAACTTTATAAAAAACTAACTAGATCATTTCAAGTTATACGAATGAAATTGAATTAAATTTTATGATGTCTTCATAGCAATTGGAACTGATTTTCTTTTTAGTTGAATTTTTAACTTTAACCTTTATTAATTAACACATCATCAAGGATAAAAATTATTAAGCCGTTGTTTAGCCCCATCAATTTTGATTATAATGAGGAGAATATTGTTTTTTTTGAAAAATGAATGGCTAATGAAAAGTTTTCGATTTACGTATAATACTATTTTATAGAAAATTGTGTGATTGAAAATTAAAAAAAATTTAATTTAATTTGATGAAATTTAATGGGAGTCAAATGGGGAATAAAAAAATGTGTTAAGAAAATTAAAAAAAATAAGATTGAGGTCTTAAATGCAATTAAGATATGAGGTAACTAATAAAAACATTTATATGAACAAAATTACATTACTTGACCTTTATACCTTCGTGTTAACATGGGTGAACACCTCGAACTGGTGAACTAACGCGGAAATGGACTATGGGCAAACCATTCAAGAGGATGATTGCATCAAATTTATTAAGCCCCCCATTACGGGGAAAATTTAATGTATAGAATAATGTTTTTTGAAAAATGAGTGGTTGAAAAAGAAAGAAAAATTTTCGATTTACGTGTAATATTATTTTATGGAAGATTGTATGGTTGAAAATAGGAGAGAGAAAAATAGAATGTAATGTAATGTAATGAAAATCAAATAAGGGCTAAATGTCTGGAAAAAAAGTTCGGAACAAAAATTGCAAAGAGCTCCAACTCCATAAAAACATTTCAATCATTTTATCAGTTAAATTGAATTGTCATCTGAAAAAGATAATGATATACTCACACAATTAACTTTATTTAAAGAAAGATTTTAACGAACAATATATTTAAATTTTTATGAATGCATAATTTATTTTAGTTATTTAACAAAAAGGCTATGATCTCGTACATAAAAGTATAAAATAACTAAGAAATGAACAAAGATTGATATGAAAATAATTAAATAAATAGATATTGGAGCATAAACCATGTACAGAGTTTTCCAATATTTACAACATTCTTCATTCAGTCATCAAATTGAGCAACTTCTGTTGGATAAACACTTTCTGATCATATTTCTTAAGACAGAAGAATAAATAATGTAACAGTTAACAATTAATTAGGTTAAACAAAAATTCTCATTTCCAGAAAAATCCTCCCAAAAAGCAAGATTTTGTCTAATCAAAGGCATAATTATTTTCTTATGTAGCCTCCATGCTGGTTTTGGGAGCTTTCTTCTCAAAGTTAAGACCAGATTGTCTGCTTCGTTTCGCAGGAGCTGGAGTATTAAAAACCGAAATTTCAGCTTTATGCTAGATAAAGTAGCTACTTAGATTAAATTTGTGCGACTATGGGGAAAGGGGGTATGCACCACTACCTTTTGCCTTGGCAGTGTTATTAGATTGGAGGACAGCAGATTTCCACTCATTGTAGTCACGATTATCCATTTGTTTGCGCTTCTTGTATGCAGAAGGCTACAAAAGATTGCAGTTCAACCAAAGTATCGTTAGGACACGAGACATAGAGTGTTAACAAATGGATTCAAATGCATAAAAAGAAAGATAAGCAACATGAGTAAGGTTGAACGTTAAAGTTATGGGAAGCACATTAGTAGATCCTACATCGTGTTTGGTAAATATTTATTGGCTTCAACCTAGGACGTGAGATGAGATTTCATGGGCTTGTCCCAGCAACTATCTGAAGTGTATTTCCATACTCGAAATTCGATGATCAATTATTGAGGGCATGAGACTATTAGAAGAGCTTTAGAAGAAACAACGTTCATTTACAATCTGTCAAAAATGATAAACGAGAAAAGGAAGCAAAATAATTTCATACTCTGTTGTTGCACATTTCTTGAAGCGATACTTTAGATTTTGTCATAATGAACCACACAATGTACCAGCTATACATTTAAGATTTCCTTCACATGGAATTGACTCAAGTGTGATAACAAAGATAGTAACTTTTTATGAGGTGATTTATAACTATGGAATATCAAAACATGATAGCAAATAAAATCACAGTAGTTAAGACGCGATGCTAATGATTACCTCTTCTCCATCATCAGATGAATAGCCTCCATCCTCAAGCCTCCTTTTTTCAGGTAATGCATTTAGAAGCTCTACATTTAACAGATGAGAAAAATAAAATATAAGAAATAGAGTCGTGAGTGAAGGCCTAATAGCACATGCATAGTAAGGCACCACTCAATGTAATGAAAGCCTTGTTTTTAACTTCATAGTGTAACAATTTAGGAGTAGGGTCATGAAGGTTATAAATATTCAAAACATCACAAAAATGATTCTACCTCGGTTTCCTTTAACATCTTTAGGATCCTTCTTTTCCTTTGTTGTACCGAAGGCATCAAAGCATATGTCCTTCATTGAAGTAGATACCTGAAATTGTGTCATCAAATGGGCATTCATTATATGCCAAGTTGAAAGAAACAAATAAATTTTCCTCGTACAAACAACTTTTTGCAAACAAGAAGATTTTCTCACAGTAGAAAATTCAGATTCTGATGATCCAGCAAGTTCAATCAACTTAATTTTGTCTGCCTTGAGCTGCAAATTTGCAAATGATGAATGAATAATGACATTAAAGTACAATTGACAATGTGGCCATCAATACATATATCAAGTGCATTTCCTTGAGAAAAATTATCCATACCTTGTGTCGTTTTGCACAAAGGTAGAATGCAACGGCAGTAAACACAGGACGAGTGAAGTCAGTACTTGCCCGACGAGAAGATGGCAATGAAGTAAGAAATCTTTCCTTGTACCTAAAATTCAACAATTTCAAATCAGTTCAAAGAGAGCGCAACTAAATGCATATCAAAAGAATTTGTTTTCATTTGCATTCCTAAGCAATGATCATTGTATACTAAACCATATTACATCAGAGTTAAGAAACAGCACCATTACTTCACTAAACCATTTTATCAAACATCAAGTAAGCGATTTCACAAAATAAAGCAGTTTTGATAAACATTCAATGCTTACAATGATAAGCCTTTGAGGACCAAAGGAATGAGCCTAATGCATCCAAATCGAATAGCCAATTCTCTTACATCAAGCTTGTTCCTAAATAAATCAACGAAAGAAATAAAACATACATTTCTATATCCCATTCCATCATCATTTCATAAAAAGGTCATGAATGAAAAGTAAAAATTTAGTGGAAAAAAAAAATTGATACTAACTTGACACCAATGCCATTCTGCATCGAATTAAAGGATCTACTATAAGCCTTCTCAGACAAACCACTCAATTTTATCGCAGCCTGACGGTCAAATATGACTTCCATCCTAAAAAAAATTATCATTACAAATCATCAGATCTTAAAGCAACAATAAATTTAGAAGAAGTAATAAATAAATTATACATGGGTAAATCAGTAGTACTACCTAGAAGAAGCAATCTCTAGGCAAATAATAGCCTTACAAATCTCACCCTGCAAATCGGTGAACGAATAGCAATTTATATATAGGAATTAAAACTAATAATTGGTTATCTTAAAAATTAAAAACAAAATCCCATCACTAATGGGTTATCTTAACCGAAAAGAAAAAACTTACGACGCCAATGGCGGAGGAGTCGAATTGGATGTCGGCAAGGCGGCGAATCTCAGAGGCTTTACGGACGAGTTGTTTGGATTCAGAGAGGCCCAATTTCTTGGCTATTTCTGACATATCCATTTTGTAGAGCTTGAGATTTTTCCTTGTAATGAAGTTGAAATGGTGAAATGAAAGATAGGTTTTTCATTTTGAGAAGAGAATCAACGGCGGGAACGTGAATTTTGGCTACGAATTTGGGGGGGTTTTCCCTCTCGCGCCATGAAAATTGAGCTATAATTTGATTTTTGGCGCCAAACGGAGACCTTTATATTCCATTTTTTTGGGGATGAATTGGTGATTAGGGAAAATTACAGCAACGGTCCCTCACATTTTCGTTTATTGCAGAATTTACGCTATTTTCAATTTGTGTCAACAGAGATCCCCAACCTTTTAAAAATATGCATCTGTAATCTAAATGGATGGAGACCAAGAAAGTCAAAATTTGATCAATTTTCACTAAATTAATAAGCGTAAAATTGTAAGTACGTATTTTTCTTATATTAAATAAATTAAAAAATAAAAAATAAAATAAAAATAAAAAATCATCATCTTCCACCCTTACACTTGCCCTTACCCTTACCCTTACCCTATCCCCAAACCCCACCCCTATCCCTACCCCAAAACCAAAACTCTGCAATCTTTTGCCACCCATACTTGGGCATTGTTATCGCTAAATACCCAGCCACCACCACTAAGCTAAGTTCAGGTAGCGGAACCACCACATTACCACCATCACCAAGTCGACGAGCCAGATTTAAGGAAAGAACCACCACTACCAGTACATGTCCACCTCCCCCTACAATCTACAACTACCAAACACTTCTACCACTACATGTCCACCTCTCCCTAAGCCATAAACCCATTCAGCAACTAGCACAATCACTGACCTAGACTGCCACCAAAACCAAACCCAATACCAAAACAAAAAGAGCCACGTGCCATCGCCACCGCTGCATTTGAATAGAGGTTGTCACCATTGAAGAAAGGCTGTGGAAGACCTATCTAGCCATTCCATTACTGGTTCAAAACCAAACCGTCGCCGCCATCATTTCCGCTACTATCTTATACACAACCAACTGGAAGCTAAATAAAAATCAAAATCAATTAATCTACAGAAACCAAAGGGTAACTTGTTTCCCACCACCACTTTGCCTCAATAAAATTGCAAAAATCGGACTTTTACGCCACCACCGACCACTATCGATTCTGAATCAAAATCCTTCAAATTCAATTCCAGATATCCCCGTAATAACCAAGTTTGTTGACTTACCATATAAATCTAATGAATTCTCCTCACCATTCAATGTCGAAATTATTGGGCTTTATTCTTATTTCATTACAGTTTACTTTTAATTCAATGGAAATAATTACAATGGGAAGTGGGGAAGTGGGGTTTGATTCTTTGTGTTCAGTGGAAATAATGACGTAGAGAGTGAGGTTTTCAAGTGGCGATTTTAGTGGGGGGAGGGTGAATGGGTGTTAGTGACGAAGATGACCGTGGAGGTGGTGTTGAAGGTGGCAGCCAATGTTGGTGACTGATTTTTAGTTGTGGGCAAAAGTTGGGGATGGGTTGAGTAAAGGAGAAATCATTTATTATTATTTATTTATTATTTAATGTGGTAATTTTAAACTACAAAATGTAGATTTTTACTAATAATTTAAAAAAAAAAGTTATGTAAATATGTTTAAAAACAAAAAGATAATTAAATTATCCTTACCTTTTTCCTTTTTCTTCTTCTTTATACTCTCTCTCTCTCTCTCTCTCTCTCTCTCTCTCTCTCTCTCTTTGCCCCTTCTGGAAACTCAATAAAACTTGCTCTATTTTTTGATGTATTTAGCATGAAAATAATTCAAAAAACAACTCGTTACAAAGGAGTTCGCAATGAGATTTCAACTTCATAGGCAACCCTAACCTTGTAAAAAAACATAATAATATTTGTCATCAACTTATTTATATATTTTTGTTGGAAAGAAAATCTTTTATTTTATATTAGTTTGCTTCAATCTCTTTTCGATACTTTGATTATTGGGTTAGTTTTGTCTTTGTGAATGTACTTTCGAGGTAGATATTCACGTTAATAGGGAGGGTAAAGGGAAATGGAGGGTAGGAAAGAGGACGAAGATGATTGAAGAAGGTGAAAGTAATTTTCATAAAGATGAATTAGATATAACATATAGAAAATCATTTAAACAAAACTTATATTTTCATAAAAAATGATTCCTTATTTCCTCTCATTTTCTTCTTTTCTGGACTTCAAATAGTCAACCGTGCTACATGAAAATCGGGTTTGACATCGGGGATGACCGCATGCACACACATGGGAGGTCGGGCATTATTTAATTCACGTGGGACCCACAAATCCATGTGAGTGCGTTGTCATCGGTGCGGTCATCCTCGCGGGTTGTTTGACTTTATCCTCAAATAGTTGATGCATAAGAGCTTTTTTGGACTCGGTTCCACTTATTGCGTTTACATATTACGTAAAATGTTTTTACAACCTTTCAATTTGGTAGTTCTTGGATTATAGTTATTGCCTTCGCAAGTGATATGGTCGAACGTTTGTATATTCTAGTAAATTTACTAAAATGCCCTTTTAAATGTTTTGAATTAATTATAATGGACAGGGTTGATTAATGTCTTACCACCAATGTTGTTCTATCCCGCATTAAATTGGCTTATGCAAAACACAACAAACGACAGCGGGACAGTTTTGTCATCTTCCACATTTGGTAATTTAGTGCATAAGAATACTGGCCACACAATATGTATAAAATCTAATGCATAACAATTCAGCAGTCTTGGACTCTGTTAAAAGCATGTTTTAACCAGTAATGCCAATAATGGGAGATTGTTATGAGAACAAATAGAATTTATCTCAAAATTCTTCGGTACAAATTCATATGAGAACAAAAATGTGATCACAATTTAGCCAGATTGGTCAGCTGGGCGAAACTCCCATCTTGTTAAGCGGTCGACACTTGAGCACGAAGCCTATATAGAGCCACAGACAAGTTCCATTCTCAACTATGATCAAACCCGAATGAGTAAACCCAACTAATCCTATGTTTATGATATGCTATTACAACAAAATATTTGTAATACAAACAACCAGTTTTGTTCGTAGAACAATAAAAATAACCATTGCTTTAAAAATAATAATTTCTTGCTTGACAAACTCTCGCGGGTTCTTGTTTGAGCAACTTGAGTTTGAGGGGGTGTTAATGTATAAACTTATTAGTTTAAGGGTAGTTTTGTCTCTCTATCCCTTTTTTTGTAGTATATATATTCATTGTATTTCATATTTTAGAGATGAGATAAAATGATAGGAGTAGCTATATTTTCATTTATTCAAGAGGTAGTTCGTAGTTGGAACCAAATTGTGCTACTTCATTTAAGGACACATGATCTTATGTTTATTTTCTATGTATAATTGTTAGTGTTATAGAACAAAGAGGAAGAGAAAGATGTGTTTCTTTATCTGAAAATGATCAGTACATAGATCCATAACCGGCTGCCTTCCAATATATATTACAAAAGTTTACTACCATACTTCTAGTCAACAACTTCCTACCAACTACCACTTTACTTGTTGATAGGATAAGCCATGCTATGATAGACATTTTGATCACCAAAAATAAACATTACATGGATTGATTTAAATACATTAGATTGCTACAGAATGTGACAACAAAAGTGATAACTAAATGTCAATACTCCTCCTTGACATTTTTGCTGGAAACACCAAGACCTTTTCTTAGTGTTTCAAACCTTCCTTGGATAAAGACTGCGTAAGAAAATCAGCAAATTGATCTTCAGCATCACAGTGTACCAGCTTCACTTCTTTATTTTCTTGTGCTTCTTTGATTGAATGATATCTTATCTTGATGTGCTTTGTTCTTCCATGAAACACCAGGTTTTTAACCATTGCAACTGCTAATTGGTTGTTACAATAAATGACAGTTGCATCACCTTGTTTATGATTAAGATCTTCCAGCATTTTCCTCATCCAGACAGCTTGGTTAGTAGCTTCTCATATAGCCATATATTCTACCTCTGTTGTAGATTAAGCCACGATTGTTTGCTTTACTGAGTTCTAGCAAATGACATATGATCCCAGATAAAATACATATCCAGAAGCGCTCTTCATATCATCAAAAGATCTAGCCCAATCACTCTTAGTAAAACCAGTTAAAACCAGACTTTCTGCCTCCAGCAAATGACATTTGATCCCAGATAAAATACATATCTTGATGTACCTTAGAACTCTCTTTGCAGCTTGGAAATGTGAATCAATTGGCTCTTGTCTAAATCTGGAAAGCACATTTGCAGCAAATGTGAGGTCTAGTCTTGTGATAGTTAGATACAATAAACATCCCACCAAGCTTCTATAAATATTTTCATGATTTTCTTGCTTCTATCTTCTTTCATTAGTTTCAAGTTTTGAACCAGTGGAGTGCTAACTGGTTTGCAATTTCCATGCTGAATTTCTTCAAAATCTCCTTGGCATACCTTCTTTGACAGACAAAAAGGCCTTCTTGAGATTGATTTACTTCCATTCCAAGAAAATATTTCATTTCCCCCAAATCTATCATCTCGAATGCCATCATCATTTCAGCTTTCACTTTGTTAATTAAAGCCTTACTGCTGCGGGTTATTAGAAGATCATCAACATACAGGGAAATTATGATTGATTCTTCCTTCACTTACTTTTTGTATAAAGTTTCCTCATTAACACTTTTCACAAAACCAAGACAGCTCAAATGTTCATCAACCCTGTTGTACCAGGCTCTTAGAGCCCGCTTCAAACCATATAATGCATTCTTCAATACATATACCTTATTTTCTTATCCAACAACTAGAAAACCATCTTGTTGATCAAATAAATTTCCTCATTTAAGTAACCATTTAAGAAGGTTGACTTAACATCTAATTGATGAATTTTCTGGCCTCTTTGAGCAGCAATGGCAATCAACAATCTTATGGTTTCATACCTGGCCATAAGAGCAAATGTGTTTGTGTAATCAACACCATATTATTGAGCATATCCTTTCACAACTAACCTGGCTTTTAACTTGTTGATCGATCCATTTGAGTTCAATTTGGTGTTATACACCCATTTAACTACAATTACATTTGTATCTTGTGGTTTATCAACCAACTCCCAACTTCCATTCTTTTCTATCAAACTCAGCTTCTCCTTCATTGCAGCCATCCATCCATGTGACTTCACTTCCTCATTAAAG